TGTGAGTATGTATGTATTTGTGTGTGCCCGTATGCTATACATATATATTTATTTTTATGTTTATATATGTGTGTATATGTTGTGTGGTGTATGTGAGTAACTACGTGTTGAAATAAATACTGTAGGAGCCCGCCATACAGCAGCTTCAATGTTGAGTTTTTCCACCGAGGGATCCCGCAATTAGTCTTGCATATCATAAAAGAATCATTCTCTATTATGCCAACAGGTGAATACTGAGCTTGACTGCAGTTCACAAATGATCTATACAAGTGTGGGTACCAGAATCGACGATTCAAGGTTGGTCAGAGACGGTAAGTCGCATTTTGCTTTTATTTGAGTATACTGCCCATGTCTGTTGTTTGCTTCTACTGAGATACGGATTTATAGACCTAGACGGGCACATTTTTGTCCCGTTGTTGTATAGTATTGATGATATTGGCAGTAGGATGCCATCGCTCGCCATACGTGTGCGTAGAATAAGCACGCACACGGCAATTTAGAAAGTTTTCGCTCACTTTTCGCAACCCTGTATGTGTTATATATAGAAACATTCCTGCGCTCAGAATGCGAACCCTTGTAATGTTTACGCAGACACTATGTAGCATTGCGTATAATAACTTTCACATCTTGTACCTAGTGCTTAATCGTCACAATCCACGTATATATTCGCCAGAATCTTCTAACCAATTGCGCCATGGGTTCTGTGTTCAGTCTGATCGAAATTACAACTACCCACATGTATGTGCAGGTGCATACATGAGTTATTCTCGATATACTTGCAGATTAGGCGTGGCTTTGAAACACTTGGATATACGTGTTTGTACATACAGTATGCCATTTACTGTCCTGAGACGAAGCACGATTAATTCCCACCTACTTTCATTCATACAAACGCAATATTAGGAACCTCAATATACACTCATTCAAACCAACAAATTGATCTAACATTCTTCATCTGATTTGCCCAGCCAATGAAATTCTGCAGGCTACTGGTACTTCGTTTCACAATCTAACTGTCTGTTTATGCCGTCTTTCGACATTTCTACTGCGCCCAGCTTGCCTCGTCACATTAACTCTTGTCTCTTTGCGCATTTGGACTTTTCTGATACGAATTTCCGTTCTTTTTGATGTGCATGCGTCTTATACTCTAAAGACCTTCATGGCGATTTAACCGCTACCTGGATGGATTGAAAACTGCGAACAGTCACGTCGCACGCTAGTGCAAAATTGATATACAGGTTGGACCGTTCTCGGTCGGGAGCTGTGCGTGACCATAGGTATCTCTTCAAGCAAACGTATCTTAGAATATCAAATCCTACTATGCACAGGCGATGCACTCTACGCGGCTCTAGCGGGAGAACCTTTTATGAAGGGAGTGAGTGGGCCGTTAGCTGCCACATGCGATACAGTTAGTACACAGATTATAGACACGGACGGTACCAACAGGAGTGGTACTCCTATGGGCACAAGGGATGACTGGATCGCCTTCAACGTCGGTGGTCAAGTATGTGACAATAGCTGTAATATCATCGCTGCGATAAGACCGTGAAGTCATCAAATGCCGCGGTAAAAACTCATTGCACACCATGTCATGTTCGGCGAGGCTCTGAATTACCGGGCTTGTATAAACATATCTGTGCCGGTGAACACGAACACCTTTGCATCTGGAAGGCGTTTATGGGCACATAGATTTTAGCTGATGGCTGAGCAGTTATGATGTTGTCACACTAGATATCTACATGTTTATGTACGCCTATTTTCCTCTATATTCATTCCACCCACACGTAGGTGTTTGTGACCACGAAAACGACCATACAAAGAGGCGAGTCAACTATGCTGTCAAGGCTGATTGAGGAGGACATGTGGCAGTCTACCCGGGATAGAAACGGTACTGTGATGCTCGACCGAAGTCCCAAATACTTTGAGCCACTTCTTAACTTTTTAAGGTAGTAGTAGAAACCCCAGTTTAGCTCCCAGACCTTGCTTTCTTCGGACCGGCCTTCCTTTCAAGTTGCATACATAGCATCAAAGTTACTTGGTCTTATGTGTTTTTACTTGATCAATATCTCACGATGATTAGTTGATCGCTCTGCTTGACAATGTCCAACAATCATTTCAAGGGCTCCTTGCTTCATAATATTCTAAATGTCAACGAGCTAATCTACTTACACCACTTCCATGTGTGCGTTTGTTCATTCTTAGGCACGGTGAAATGGTCCTGGGCGAGGGACTCAATCCTAGGTAAGCGCTGTGCAGTCGTCACTTACCACGCACGGAAATGCGAACAATCTAGCACGCCACTGTTGCAATTTCGAATGTTGTTGTCATTTTCGCTTTTATCTGTTAAGGTTTTGCGCCTCTCATGGCCGGTCTTGATATAAGGTGTAGCTTTATTTTAGAGCTCATATTATAGTGTACTCTTGGCATCATTGTCTAAGCTGGCACAAGGCATGTTCGTAGTGGACGCTTAACGATACTTCGACTGAGTAACAGCACTGACACAGTTTGTGATCTGAGTTGCAAGCTCGTATCGATTGTCTACACTTTGATACACATGGCTCGCATTGAGTCATGTGTATCAAATTTATAATGAATAGGCCCCAAAAGGAGATCCTATAGAATCAGTGATATGTGCTCCTTGTTAATCACCCACTTGCTTATAACGTGCGAATAACCACTGAGCAGCTATGCAGTTTTCTTCCCGCATACCATTCAACAATCAGTATAGGAGTATTATGTCAATGAAGTACAATTTATTTCAAATATCCCCAGAGGCGTTCTGGCCGAAGCCAGATTTTTTGGGATGAACGATGCATGCAAAATCCTTGAGCAGATGTGTAAAGACTGTCACGTTGACGCTCCAATGAATCGCAACTCCTTCATGGACAAGCTCATGACCCTCCAGCCATCGGATTCCCTGAGGTATGTCCAGAGGGTATAAATGCATGTATGGCTGAATCCGCACAGCTTCAATCGTCACATCTATTCTGGGGGAACGATGCTACTCAATGTTACATGGCCATATGACCAGTCTGTGTGTAAAACACAATATTTGTAACGATACTGTTTTGTCGGATCCATAACTGAACGTTCTTCGCAAGTACTTCCTTTCCGTGGCATCCTCTTTACATTTATCTACATATCTGTATAAAACGTCGGAGAAAGACCACCGACTCCAATTAAACATGCCAAACAAGATGTCTATGAGAGCAGCCGGTAATGTCATGGGCTGTTGATAGATACCAACAAACATGCACAAAATATATCTTGCAGGTGTCGTGGGATGAATTTTCAAGGGACCGATTTTTCTCGGCTGGATTTATCAAACATCGATTTCGATTTATGCGACATGAGACGGTGTATATTTGAAAGTATGTATAAATATTCTCTTTCTTGTGTTTGGAACCGCTACCTGAAATAATATATTTGACTTGCGCATTGCTAGTAACCGTTCTTGAAGCCCAGTATACAGGCAGAAGCCTAAGTGCATGACACCAATTTTAACTAAGTTGAACCTCGGAAGTTGTCATCCATTCAGCATTATTCACCGTGCCGGACACAGCTCAGCACTATACAAGTCACCACAAAGTAAAGTTTGCATTTTTTGCATTTCTAGGGAGCATTTTATCCGGTTGCAGCTTCCAGCAGGCGCAATTGTGTGACGCTGTACTAGACGGTGCGGATCTGTCCGCAGCAAACTTCAGGGGGGCGGAAATGCAAGGTAGCCCCTTTTTCGAGCACAACGTATATGACATTCCAAACTCGCTCTTGTAATTTGGCGAAAGCAGTTGTGACTTTGTATGCAATTGTAACATGTTCGAGATATCAACGGGATGCGGAACTCTTATATGTTTGAATCGCAGTGTATTTTGCGAATCATTTGTTACTAGATATCAAACATTTAATTTGTGATACGAGATTTATTTCATTGCCCGTATCGTATGCAGGCGCGTCGATGCGGCATTGTGTTTTGCTTACGAGTTCTGAGGGACCTCTGATGGCGGCTGCAGATATGAGGGGCGTTGACTTCGATGAGAGTGAGCTCTCAGGCTCAGTTATGAGGTTTGTTTATCTTCTCCGGGCTACTGCACATATCTTAACAATACGCAATATTTTGGGTGTATATCTCTGTACCGTACTTGTATATTCCTATGTATGTGAAAGTAATGGAACTCGCATCAAGGAATATACGTATTGTTGAGCTGCACCCAATGGTGCATCCAAGGCTAGCACTGGAACGCCACAAAACTAAGCTCAACTTATCGCGCTAGTTGTACTGGACTGCTGCCATTTTCTGTACATTTGTGCGACAGTTAATTAACAAATATCTGTCACTCGATACAGGGCGGCCAACTTGCGACACGCGACCATGACCAATTGCATACTAAACCATGCGGATTTAGCAGGTGCTGATCTAGAGGGTGCCGTGTTTAGTAACTCGACCATGAACCAAACTAACTTCAGGGGGGCAAATACAAAGGATACCGTGTTTGGGGTAATGCAATCGCCTCTGCATATGTCCTCGTTCACAACATAATAAAATCTCTCTCTCTATATATTTTTAAGCACTATATCTATCAGATGTTTTGGCGATTACAAATGCCAATAGATCTACAAGTCTGTTCACGTACAGTATAGCACAGGTTTACCAATGAATTTTGCACAACAACTGAAAAATCTTGATACGTCCAGGGCCTTGTTTCGCCCTTGATAGTGGCTTGCAATATTTTCTCCCTGACACCCGATCTTCAAATCAAGTTCGAATAAGCCAATTATAAATATATAAAGTAATGAAATACTCTCTACGCGCGTCTGGAGAAATCAAAATTCCAAGTTATTAAACGCCATATCGATGGCTGCATCTCTGATGCCTTGCTCGCGGGAAATGGAGGAACCCAATCTGAATCCAACTACTACGGCGGCCATGGATCTACATTTACTAGCGATACCATCGGGATATGTGGTCTTAACTCAAATCCGAGTAGAGTCTTTTTAAATTGCATAGTCCAAGTAAGAATGGTCGACACAAACGAAATATATCCTTTACAAATGGCCGATATAAATTCAATTGTATATATAGTTATAGTGACATCTGCGGCTGAAGCTGTAGTGTATACTAAGTCCGTAGTAAGGATACTGAAGCGATTAACGGAGGAAAGTACACGAAACTCATGTACAAAATAAAATAAAATAGTTGGAAGCCTTTAACTATCCGTTTTCACATATTATTTTACATTCACAGTATGAATATGTGTACACTAAAAATACATTATCGAATCCAAGAATCATTTTGGGGGCAGAGTTTTCTTTGCTTGTAAATCAACTAGATGTGTAGTAAGTTCATAGAACCATAATAGTTTAACTATTGCGGCACTTCACACATATAGGGGTTAACCAGCATGCATATTTCACCGGAAACAAATTGCTGGTGTATCGTGCATTCTGTATCGTGCATCCTGTATCGTGCATCCTGTATCGTGCATCCTTCACTATAGCACAGCATATACACTTATAAGATCGTATCAGCGATAAAGTAGAACATCTAAGCTACCTTATCGAGACATACTCGATAAAGCGTTACTAAGTAGCATTCCCTGCTTGGCCTTTACTTACAGACTTCGCGATGAGCGATGCAACGATAACAGTGCACTAGTCAGTCTTTCTACAAAGCTCCAGATATTGCTCAATTTCACTGCGGTAGTGTTTACATGCACAGGTCCAGCACACACTACCGCGGCGTCCTCGTATATGAAATGCATTGAACACACAATATTCCTCCAGCGTATATGCTGTCGAAATGTAGTTTCCTTATTTACTGAATACTTCGCTTCGCTGGAGGTGTTGAATATGAGCGATCTCAAATCGGAGAGCAACAGTACATAGCTAAAGGCAGGGGCAGTGCATATGCAGAAAGTTAACGTCTGCACGGTGCAATCAGTGATATTTTATTTGTACATATAAGCAAAAAAATAACTAGAAAAGGGCATGTTGCGAGTCTTCGTGTATTTTTTTTACAAAAAGTATGTGCATCTACTGTACGACATACCCCGACGATCAGGGAAGTACACAAGAGTACTGTACGGCACACTTCGCTGATGCAAGATAACAACGCAAGAATGTTATATCGCAACGTTTTACAGCATCACTCTCTGTGTTTGTTGTTGCTGATTGTTTACACTTTTGTGTTCTACATTGCGGAAGGTGGGAGCTTCATATCGACCGCATTCTGGTATGATTATCCAATCAAATTTGGATATCAGATAAAAAAAAGCTGCCATTTAGCTTTGGTATTTTAAATCTATCAATTTTTGCCTACAGACAGCCCTCTTTTGTTTTTTTTAAAACAAAACAAACAAAAACAAAAATACACAGTTAGAAGGCGATATGTAGTATTACGATACTTTTGTCATTTACAATTTTACATAGAAGTAAGTACATAAGTATACCCTGCAAAAAGGATATTGCAACATGCATATTGTCGGATGCACTAGAGACACTGTCAGGGCATGAGCAGCGACAGTTGTTGCAATTGCACTGTTCATAGAGACGTTATAAAGACTCAGCTATCGACACGCTAAAATTCGACTCTCGTTTGAATCTCGCACATTCCGTCAGCGACGATACAGCAATTTACAGAGCGAGACGAAACAACGCATATGTAAATAATTTCAAGTGTCTGGTGCAAAAGATGGCGCAAAAGATACACACATACATGAAACACCACAGACTCGGCACAGTCAGAACCCAGACACTCAAACCCCCCCCCCCCCCCCCCAAAATTCAGGTCTCGTTGGATTAGACTGCTGCCCATCTGTGGTTATCCAGCAATATATATTGCGAGACCAAACGATACATATCCAATATTTATCAAACGCAGATACACGAGAGACGCACACGCACACGCACACACCATCGGCACGGTCGGAATGTCAACGCTTGGCAACGCTTCCGTATTTTTTGGATTACTGTCTTTCACGGTGCACTGTGTGGGGTGCAACAGTCGACACGTGCAACGAGAGAATTACGAAGTGTCGACACTCGACGGTGTGGTGTATTTCATGTGATCTACGTCTGATCGGAAATCCGGGTAGCCTTCACCTGAGTGTATTGATGGGTGCCCATAAGTATAGAACGTCAGTGCGCAAAGCACTCAAGATCACTCTTACCATCGATTCAATACAATGTATGGAGACAAAGAGCACCGCCATGGAGGAGGATATGATGACGGACGTCATCATGGGGACTATAGAAGTCAGGGCCACTATGGTAAGCGTCAGAAATTATCTTGGGCTTTGATAGTTCTGATACTTCGAGCTGCATGCTATGTACTTTCATATACTCTTTGGGATGATTCATAGTGCCTCCGTCGCTCATACCCAATGCATCATTCTCTTTGACTGCAACAGGTGATCATGGTCGGGGAGAAGAACATCATTATGGCCGAGGTATTGTTCAAAACATTCTGGTCTGCTCTACTTAACTGTGCACACTTTGTTTCTGCCAAAATTTGAATGTGCTATGCCAAACCTAGACATACTTTAAATTGCTTAGTACGGCTGTTCCTCATGTCTCTATATCTCTATTCCATGGACAGGTTCTTATGACCCCCGCCGCCGTATCCATGAAGGTTAGATAATCGGATGTATTCATGTTCGTATCATTTCTTCTGTGTAATTCAGAAAAAAGAAGGTATTTAGGACGCCTTCGGGGAAGCTATGAGGTGCATCGTATTTGTTCAGCAGCGTGTTGTAGCCCACATAGTGCAGTGGTACATTGAACAGGATGCCACACTCCGCAGCAGTGTGAACGTGAGGAGTGGCATCGTCTACGCAACATCCACACCTGCCACAGCCTCTCTGCGAGTCACTAATAGTGACAGCAAGGGCCGTATGGACAAGTTCCGGAACGGCGAGCTCAATATACTTGTATCTACATCCGTGAGCGAGGAAGGCATGGATGTACCCGCGGCCAACTGTGTTATCCGATTTGATGCGGTGCAGACACCCGTCTCTTTGGTGCAGAGTAGAGGCCGTGCGCGTCAGAAAGACAGCAACTTTGTTGTGCTGGCGGAGTCCACACAGGCGAACCGCACCGTCGCATGCATCCAGGAAGCAGATCATCGCCAGTACAATCTAGTGACAGCCACGCCTTTCGACAAATCGACTACCAACACCCAGGCATCGCGCAAGAGACGCACGGAGGCCAATGCACAGCGACAGAAGAGGGCCTTGGCTGTCCTGAATAGCAGGCTAGTCGTAAGTGTTACGCCGGCGTATACCGAGCTACTGAATATGTACGTGGCTCAGTGTGTGGGAGAGCTGGCAGTGTCCTTCGACAAAGTGACCTTCAGCAAGCACAGGTGCGCGTGGGTTTGTGATTTTGTGTTGCTCGCGTGGTGTACCGAGATGGGAAGCCTCGGCGGCAGCGGCTTCAAAACAAGATGCAAAGACTCGGGCGGCACAATAGATGTTTGAGTTAATCTTGGAGGACACACCGATGTAGTGAACATATACGTGTGCCGCAAATACATACCATGTCATAAAACACGTGTATCTACAGTTGTCTGAACGAGCTGATTGTCCGTCACAGTCTAATTACAGTCTTGAATATAGCGATCAGGCACGTGTGATATCGCGATGGTTTGATTTAGATGCATATAGTATATTTAGGTGCATCGAACATCACGCGAAATTCACATAGAAACCTAGTAGCGATAGCTGTGCAGTGCACAGGTGTCAAATCTAGGTATATAGAGACTGTGCACAGGCGAATCTCACATCTGCGATAGGGCAGGGCATTTGTATTGTACGCAGGCGACGGCGTATGTATATTGCACATACACAGGATGAGCGTTTAAAGTACTCTCAGACCTCGTGCGAGAAGACGAGGTTAGATGTTGATTTTCTCGCACATAAACATGCGCGAACCAGAATGCATACTGAACGATCGACCTCATTTTTATCCAATATTAATACGATAAGTTTTTATTTTGTTACTTTTGTTCTGTTGTAAATGCTGTCTCCACGGGTGCAATCGTATACACATCTATCCAAGCAGTGAGTTTTACTTTAATATTTTGTTCCTCGGTGTGTCAATGTTCTATACACTGTATTCTGCATTGATTCTGAATTAACAAACACCTGCTTATTCGTATTCGATGTCGGCATGAAAATACCAGACACCATGTAGTTATAGCGGAGTCTTGTGTCAATCTGCACTGCGGTTGCTTTCATCATCCAATGTGGACTGGCAAAAACTCTCTCGGAAGACCGGCTACCTGTTTTATCGGTTGAAATTCAGTTCTATCGATTCACACTTAGGGTGGGATGGTCTATATTCTGAAGTGACACTCGCATATGAAAATAAACTAGTTTAACGTATCCGTTTTTGTAGTTTTATATTGAACTCTCACACAGTCCATGGTAGTCATTCTTATGTCTCGCCGCTATTCTGCGGCATATCATCAACGCAGGAGCCACCCAGCGGCAGCAACGCAAAGTCTTCATAAGTATTTCTTTTTCACCTGCGACTGTGTGCGCGTATTTCTCCGCATGTACTGCATACGCGTGCGTGTGGGCTTCATTCGCCCATTTTTCTTCATGAATGAAAGACTCCAAAGCATGCGAGCACAAGAGGTATTTTTGACCATGTGTACATGAGTATATATGGATTCGCACACAAGTATGTCGGCCACATTGTCCGTGCATGTTGGTATAGGTGCATGTCTGTGTATATTGTAATCAACCATGCGACAGGGTCAGGACAAACCACAGACACTTCCCTCCTAGAGCCAGAAACGCCTCATAGTCTCATCACCTATAGATAGAGCATGAGATTCATCACCATCACCTATAAAAAGTGCATGAGATTGGTGGAGTTCATCTCGCGGATGTCCCGCATGTTTGCCCCGGCTGCCCGTAACTGCTGGCCCAGGTAGGCGGCGTGGTGTGCCAGGCGTGCTGGGGTGCTCTGGGAGATGCTAGTAGTTGAGCTGCCTAGCGAGTAGCACTCGTAGTACGTCACCAGGCGCAGCAGCTCGCTGGTGATTCCGATCTCGTCCCACAGACATGTGGCATGCATGGGGCGCTGAGGACAGGCGCGGGTGTGGGGAGGACTGGAGGGGTGAGTGGTGGCGTATGGATGTAGGTATGGGGCCGTAGGCCTACAGAGAGACTATGATGGGGATCACATGGATGCTCGGCCCTTGGTGTATTGAAGTAGTGGTGTTTAATTGCTTATTGGTATCAGCCGCCTGGTGCATATAGATACGAGGTGAACGTACGCGTATATTGCAGTGCCAATCGATCAATAAGACTCAAGATCGCCTAGAAGGAAGTGTTGCAATGACGTCGTGACAATGAAAGATAGGGAATCTACTCGCATATTAGACCATCACCTTAAACACACATTTTAGATACATCCTCGAGAACGGGATTCATATCATGCATCCACACACACTGAACACGTCAATTGAAGTGCACACACACTGAGCGCGTCAATTGAAGTGCACACACACTGAACGCGTCAATTGAAGTGCACACACACTGAACACGTCAATTGAAGTGCACACACACTGAACACGCAATTGAAGTGCACACACACTGAACACGACAATTGAAGTGCACACACACTGAACATGGCAATTGAAGTGCACACACACTCTACACGTCAATTGAAGTGTACACACACTGAACGCGTCAATTGAAGTTGTCATGCGCATGCGGTGTGATGGATATCAGACACTTACCGCAGTACCCTGCAGAGGCACGTGGGGGTTTATAAAAAAATTATCGACGCCTGGGAAGGTTATGTCCTGGTCCACCAGGAGCCCTACGGGACACAAGCAGGACACAAGAGAGGTATGTATGAGAAATATAACCGACTAAGAACAACCGGGCCAACCCAATAGCGGTGTATATGAGAGATATGCAATACTAGGAATACCTAGATGGTAACACGAACTATAATGAGAAGCGGAGCCCGCACACCTCTGTATACAAAGACTGAGTGCGCACCTGATTGTCATCAGCGACTGAACTATACACAAATCAGCTCACCCGACAGCCGGTATAAATACATTTCCATTTAAGTAGTCTACACCAACATAATCTCCAAACTTAAACCTGTGGGGTTTTTCACCTCTCTCACAATCACGTGAACTCTGAAGTCGTTTGCACACACCAGGCACCGGGTTGGTCTTCTTGTTGTTATGGTCCAAAAACAAGCGGACGCGATGGCGTTTCTGCAAAGATATGATGGCCAACTGCACAGAGCAAGAGTACAGAAGATAAGATTAGATAAGATATGATAAGATAAGATAACGCACATGGCAGAGGCTATTCTATTCTCCATGTATGATCATCTGAAACAAAAACTTCGCAAAAGAGACAGATGATTTGCAATTATTTCATTGAAGTACTTGAGTAAAACCTTGGATCGTATTCGGATAGTTATATACAATGAGTGCTTGTGGTTGTACACCAGCTTTGCGTATGTTGTGCGCGCATGTGGATGAGATAAGATACATCTAAATCCACCTAATAGCTCCTATCCAGTGTGCTCTGCAGGTGTGGTTACACAAAGTTTCGAAGCCATGCCTACTTGAACTGTATGCAACACTGTCAGATGATAGTACACTGATCACACATGCACCGCAAATCAGTCTGACACACGCCCCATGCCACGTACACATGGCCCCATGCCACGTACACATGGCCCCATGCCACGTACACATGGCCCTATGCCACGTACACATGGCCTCATGCCACGTACACATGCGGCGAGTGGGTCCACAGAATGAAAACAAATACATCGGGACATGCAACCCTTGTGCTGCAGCACTCCACAACAGTATACAAATAGCAGTACATAACCCAACACACGCCCCATGCCACGTACACATGCAGCGAGTGGGTCTACAGAAAGGAAACAACTACATCGAGACATACAACCCTTGTGCTGCAGCACTCCTAATCAGTATATAAATAGCAGCACGTAACCCAACACACGCACCTTATGCCCCATTGGGCAGAGCTCATCTAGAGCTCGTTTGATGCCGTCCTTTTCATTTTCCAGCACCTCTTGGACTTGGCCTTGAGATATGCCGTCGCGGAACAGAATAAAGCGCTCGGGCGCATGCCCGTGGTGCCGCTCTTTGTAGTGGTCCACCAGTTTGGTGAGTGCTTCGTTCAGTCCTTCCTAATGTGTTGGAGTTTCAATGAGATGCGAATGCAAATATGCGCAATAGCAGATTCAGTAGTGCACCGCATCAGCAAGTTGGTGAGGAGGGTGTGTGGTGATTCAGAAGGCTCCAAGCACATCACAAATCACACAGTGTACTCGAGCATTCGTGCTGATCTATTGGCCGGTGTAGGACTGAAACGACACCTACGCATTCCAAACAAAAAAGCAAGACAGTGCATGACGGTACATACAATAGAGGTATACTCGCACGATGGCAAAAATACGCACGAATGTACTACCAGTAGTGCCAAGCATCGTCAACAACCTGTGCTTCAGGTGCTGTTGAAACGGCTACATAAACAAAGACACGGATGTGCCACTCTAAGGCGGAAGTGTCTCCCAACAATACAAGCACGCACAGTCCTATGCTACACCACTACAACGGACGGATACCAGCATGCGTATGCGTGTGCCTGAACTGACAGCGCACTATATGGCCACATCCATCATACCAACAGTAGCACCCAGACTACACAATGCTGTATGCAACGGATACCTACCCGTGTCAGCACCTCTTCGGCGTCGTTGTCGGGGCAGAAGATGTGGCTGGCATAGATGGACTGATTGTCGTCCACTGACCCGACAACAGCTGCCACAGAGGTCGCACCACTGGACTCTCCGGTGGGGTGGGTGACGTCAATGCCCAGCAACATGGTCGTGCTGCCGAGGATAAAGGGCCGCAGCACGTTCTCGCCTTGACGAACACCCGGCACCCAGTTGGTGCCCCCTGTTGGGACAGGTCAAACCAACGGCCGCATAGCAATTGGTGTTAGTTATGCATATAGAGAGTTTGTATATGCTATGGTAGTAGGCATATCTATATAAGAAAGTAGATACAGCTTAAAAACATGTCCTGAGAGGTCCTGTTGTCGTCTAGGAAGAAATATTCATACACATGGTGGACAGGCTAGTATTTATTTATGGACAAGGAGAATGGAATAAGAAACCGATGATGTTGCACCTGTGACACACCTATTGTTACCATCGCCCATGTGCACGAACTACATGCGTAGGATAACTCTTTAGCGTGTGTCACATGCTATCTGTACACTTGAATAACAGGCAGTAAACATCGCAAAACTCCGGTAAATAGCATATACCCAGTTTTGAGTTGATTTTCAGGGCGAGATTAGACCGCACTTGGCCCCCTCGAGGTTCAGTTGCCCTTCTGGCATTCTTTACGAGGCAGCATTGCGTGACAATGTCGTTCGTCATTCCGAATCTCTTCACGTCCTTCCACTGACCAGACGACCCCTGTCGTATAATAGATGTGTTGTGTATTGAGTTAACTTATCCAAGATGTGGTGATATCTGTGAGCAGAGTAGTCGGTGTCAACATATAATGTGTAAGTGATGTTGTTGAGAGAAAGACACCTGTCGATGTTTTGTACTATCCGTGCAGGCTCGCAACCAGCCGCATGAAAGGACAATCTTGCGGATACAAACAGTATACGATCTCGCTCCAACTTGAAAGATTGATATCGTTGTACCACACTCTTTCGCACACATCGCATGTCTACTTACATATCTACGCCTACTGTATGCACCAACGTTTCACAATAATTTTCCTTACCTCCACAACAAAGATGAGGTCGGGACGGCATGTTTGGAATGGCCGGCAGGCACGTAGCAAAGCGTCATCAAGACTCTCTTGAAAGCCCACAGCAACACTCGGCTCAGCTATTGGTGTTAATACGGAAAGAATTAGTCACTTACAATCGGTGTCAATTTCTTTTAGTGCTACAGTATAGTCCAGACTGAATTGCACGACGAGGTTCCCGTGTGCACAATCCATCGAAAGCACATACTGTAATATTCAGCTCGACACATCCAAACCTGCCCGTGCCTCTACAGATGAACACACACCCACGTTCATTCATAGACACGCGTTTCACCATACACACCCTCCACCCACGCCCATTCATAAACATGTGGTTCAAAATACACGCCCTCCACCCACACCCATTCATAGACATGCGGCTCACCATACACACCCTCCACCCACGCCCATTCATAGACATGCGGCTCACCACCCACACTCTCCACCCACGCCCATTCATAGACATGCGGCTCAACACCCACACCCTCCACCCACGCCCATTCATAGACATGAGACTCATCATACACACCCTCCACCCATGCCCATTCATAGACATGCGGCTCACCATACACACCCTCCACCCACGCCCATTTATAGACATGCGGCTCACCATACACACCCTCCACCCACGCCCATTCATAGACATACGGTTCACTGTACACACCCTCTCGACAAACTAAGCCATGGCCCTGCAGCGTAGTTCGCATCTCTCGAGCCAATTCGTCGCACTCTCTTACGCCAAAGTCTTCAGTCACAGACACAATAATCCAGCCGTCCACCTGCGCCGGGGTCAAGAACTGGGCGTTGCGTAGGTTCCATTTCCCATCCAAACCTGCACATCGTCAGTTGATGAGTGAATGTAGCACACAGGCATCCCACTAAATGACCGTCCGTATGTGTTTAGAGAACTTATGAGCACAGCACAGCAAATACACACTGGTATACGCTGATGTCATGTAATAAGTAGACACAAACTGTCCTTCTATTTGCGCACAGATTGTGAATACGTTCTCGCTACGTGATAGGTGAGTGAGTGAGCGGGCTACTTGAGTTTATGTCGCTGTTGGATTTTTAGCTGGTAACGTTGTGTATAGTTGGTGTGCCATGCAAACCGATAGCACGCACAGCACTCTGCTGAATTCTGTACAAAACTGCTATGGTATATATAGTAGTACCACAACATTTAGGTAAACACAGACACGCACACCTACAGTAGACATCACCAGATTACATATAACAATATCATATTACGTCTGCTTATAAGCAGAAAATTAAGTCTTTACATGGTCGTTTCCTTGAGCGTATATGGCACAACGTTTTGCTACATTCATTCACTAAAACATAGACCAAACACTGATGTGGGCTTCACTTCAAACGCTCGATCACATACGCAACGCATGACACCAATGCAGCCTCACAGCATATTGTCCTCATCAGAGGAATATTAACCTTCGCAGCTCATTAAGAAGAAGTGCCTGTATATCCCGCCCACGGTTAACTTATTTGACTTTATTTCATAGACAACCCTCCGTATTCTGTACCTTACCTGGCGCAGCCATGATGTTGTAGAACTTCAAGGCCGGAGGTGGCAGAACCCCTGCACCAATGGGATCGCAGGGATTCTCATCAACGTTGATCTCCAGCTCGCGGCAGAGCTGGTTCTGCATACGTTGTGCATGAAGTAACAAATGTGTGCGCAGGTGAATTGGACACAAACGTATTGGCTTCTCACGTGCGGTGGGTTATGGGATGATGTGGTGTGTTAGTGGTTGGACGAGGAACAGTGCATGTATTTCACCTGAGTGAACAGTGCATGTATTTTCGACTGAGTGAACAGTGCATGTAATTCAACTGAGTGGACAGTGCATGTATTTCAACTGAGTGAACAGTGCATGTATTTCAACTGAGTGAACAGTGCATGTTTTTCAACTGAGTGAACAGTGCATCTATTTCAGCTGAGTACCATGATACACTACGTGTAAACGAGCGACGCTGCAGTGTACCTTTTCTCAGTCAAAGTCGAAATAAACGCCGACACTTGCGTTCGTATTGGTAACATAGATGCACATCGTCTCATCGGATAAGACCAACATACACAGAAAAACCATCCTTGTATTTCGTCCAACACTCATCACTACTCACACACGTACGCTCTGGTGTATCTGCTTCAGTAATGGGCGTGACGACGTATTGATTCGATCAAATCTATCGGCCGCGGAGACAGCCGCCATCGGTAAGATTGCTGCGGTTTGGTTACTATCCAATTTTCTGCGAATCTGCACGTTATGTATGTAAGAAGATATCAATGAAGAGGAGGTTATGCGTATCATAGAAGTGTAATTACGGAGGGGAGGAGCAACCCAGCATAGACGCAATCTGATACCAAAGACGAGACGATGACGCGCTTGACAGGGCGAACTTTTAGTAGACAGCGGGATAGATGTATTAGGGCTTGGGGCCTGGGTAGTGATTGTACTATTGCAGTGAAGATGTAACTTAGCCACACACCTGTCCTTCGGGGATCCTGGTCACCTCAATAGGGGTCAAGATCGGGTGCTTGCTGGTGCCAGAGGTGATGGCTGGCAGTTGCGGGTACTTGAGACGAATCTTGTGATGCTATGCGAGTAGGAGTGGAATATAATTCAAATACTTCAAATATCAGGAGTGGAATATGCTTCAAAAGACCGGCAGCAAGAATCGGCATGTTGGCATGTGTATTGATGTGCAGCTGAGAACGATTGCTGTGGATACAATAGACAGCCGAGCATGCGATATTCCTACCAAAGGCAAGTGGGGGCGGGGGAGGGGCGATTCTCCTAAAATAAAACTATGGTCTAGACGGCATATACCATTTCATAGAGAGCGAGGCATATACCACAAGAGAATAATTACCTTAACAAACCAACGTATTGTCTGTGCATATGCATAGAATCACTATTACGTACGTGTTACTGACCTCGAAGAAGTACTCGGCGATGCTGACCTGGACAACTTCGCCGTTTGGCTTCTCCCAGTCAAACGTATGCTCTTCCGAGGTCTTCCCCAGCCCTTTCGCTTTGTAAGAGCGGGAGTAGCCCAGATGGGAAGTCTTGAAGGTCAGTCCCTAAGTGTAGAAAACCAAGTGGCCGTCCGAAAAGTTGCTCACAATTAGTTGCTACCTGCTTGATGGTAATGTTTGATGGTGGCTGTACATTTGTACGTAGCTATGGTTATACAAGTCCTTAGTTGAATTAATTATATATATGCGGATGTGCGTTTACATATTCCTACTTTGAGTGGCTCTGTACACCCTAAAGCAAGTGAGTGACCTGTATCCAGTAAATAATTGTTTATATATAAAAATACTGACGGCATCGAATAGTTTTATAATGTCTAATCTCAATAGGATTTGCACTCGGACGGTGTGCATAGGCCCATGACTTAATGGGGTAGCAGGCGCCTTCACCCTATGTGACCCACATACGCACTTCCACCTTGACGGTCCTTGTGCGCAAGTCTCATTTAGATACCACACACACACAGACTCACATAACTACACCTACGCACATCTGCATTCCCCTAACTACACCTACGCACATCTACATTCCCATGAATACGCCTACGCACATCTGCATTCCCATAAATACGCCTACGCACATCTACATTCCCATACTACACCTACACACATCTACATTCCCATAACTACACCTACGCACATCTGCATTCTCATAAATACGCCTACGCACATCCACCAGTCGCCCACACCTTGATCGCATTGTCGGCCAGGCGCCACTCGCCACTCCCGCGATGCAGTCTATGGGCCAGAGCAGGCACGTCCATGACGTTGCACGCATGCACCAGATAATCCAACACAGGTCCTGGCCGAGGGGACGCAGCCACGGCAGCATCAATGGCCAAACTGGGGCCCAGTTGGCACATGCGGATGGTGGCGGATACACCTGGCAATCCAAAGTACCCCCCTCCTAGATGGCGCTGGTTGGTCCAGTCAGGGATAAGAAGATTGACTCCTGTGAAGAGCCGCGTGGGTGGGTCAACGTGTGAGCGTTATGTTCTCAATGCCATACCACCTCGTGGCATGTGTTACGAAGTTTCAAGATAACTTTTAGCTATGTAATCTGTGGATGAAGACTTACGCATTCGCGTGATATATACCTTGATGGATGAATTTGTTTTTGTCCGCACGAGCGAGTTCAGCCATTGGCTCGCGCACCATAAGCGAGAGAGCCTGTTCTCCTACGCTCGCGTGCATGGGACGATCCATGGTAAGTCTGTACGAGAAAGGTAACACAGGTAGGCATTTCAATGTGAGTTTAATTCATCTACGGGTGATATGCACGAATCTGTTTGCAGCTTTGACATAGTTAAGATGTGTGAATTAATTTCTAGGTGTGTGCTGTTGCATGCAAACGTCGATCGGTAGAGATGCTGTACGTAGGAATCATTATGCATACTAGTTTCAGATTCGAATTTCGGCTAAACCTACACTGTGCATGACAATCTGTATATGTTGTGATTTATTTTCTGTGATCATACTATCGCAGTAGCACTGGTGGTGTGCATGTCACCGCATGCATGAAGAATACTCACGCATGAAACAAACGGGGAGGCAAACTACTTGTATCTGAAATGAACAAACAACCGTGGTACATACATGAAAACACACACGTACAACATATGTCAACACACACACATGCAGCATATGTGAAGCACACCTACGCGCAACATACGGGAATTTGATTTTTTGGCCTGTACTCTTGATCACAACCCGCACCTTGGTGGTGCCTGCTCGCTTGTTGGGGTGGTCGACTGTCATCTCATAATATTCAATCTCTGCGATGCTCCAGTCTGTCGAGGAGAACAACATTAAATGTGTGAATGGCATCAGATTAAACTGTTGACTCTGCACGAGCGAAGAGCTGAGAAAGTGCGACTATTTCGACTCCAGGTGCAAAGAAATGTGACTATTGGCATACATGACGAATGCCCTATGTACTTAAGCAACAATATTCAGATAGGAACGCGTATATTTACTTGTAGACAATTTCATGCGCATGTACTTACATGTGGTCCGACCATCGTACACTCCAGCAGGCAGATAGGGGTCATGTGCCTTGACCTTATCCAGGATCTGCCGGTTCAGTTCCGTGCTTTCGCGAGTGGTTAAGTCAGTCCGTTTCTCGCGCTCCTCGTCAGAGTCCTTGTAGCTGTTACGTTTTCATAGACACCAACAAATGTTCATATAATCAGATGGGTTATTCCCATTTTATAACACACACTTTCGGATTCTATACGCACGTGTGCATGAGTAGATACAGCATCATGCGTAGGTGTGACTTTTAAAATACATGTGCGTTCACCCCCGAGAATGACGACTGCCGTGGTCACACGACGCAGTTTTGTAAACAAATGAGTTCAGATAAAAGTTATATGATGGGCGATTGGTAGTAGAAACGTACGCGACGCAAACCACATACCGTGTGAACATATGTACCGCGTTCTGGTACACTTGCTTCCCATCTTTAACCTTCAGAGGAAAGACATTGCTCGTAACCTTGATGTCGGGATTAATCTTCGCCATAGGCACGGCGACGCGGCAAGCCCCTTGAGACGGCGCTGTGGTCGCGTGAATGGGTAGAGTAGGGTTTGCCTGAGCCGACTATTGTGCGGTTGTACTGAGTATGTAGATGTACATGGGATATTTACGTGCATGAGTCCTTGCATATGGATTTGAGTACATGGAAAAGCAACTGCATATGTATTCAGGAGGCCAAAGAATACATCTGGATGATCACATTTTTTACACAAACGACATTATCTGTGCGCAGAGAATGAGACGGTACTGCACGCCTCCCATCAGCAAAGGTCGGACCATCGAGCCTGCGCCAGATAACAGATAGTACGTCAATTACCAGTCCTATTACAAGTAAGCAGACAAGTAGGTGCATATAAGTCCTCGTGGACATACCAGGTGGAGCATACATGTTGGGCGACACTTCAGATCGTATAGCCTCGATGACTGACGCCATGTACTCGGTCTGCACACGTGCGAGCCCATTAGCAACCAGCGATCGCATATCGGAATCCGCTCGACCCCGATCACCCCTACCTCGACCTAAGTGAATGAAGTGCATGAGGTGTATACAAGTGTGACAAGCATTCGTACGCGTAGGGAAAGGTGGTGGAATGCAGCGATATCAATACAAATAGACGGTATATGAGCAAATGAGTGATATGGGGTGTGTGTTTATTTAGGGTTTGGAATCAACCTTGATGGAATCGATATGAGCTCTCTACAGACCGGTCTAGCTGAACATCATGTCCCATACTGCTTTTAGAACTATCTAAAGTACAGGCGACTCAAAGAGGACTCTTAGATGAAAGCACAGCAGGTCTCAAACACATCATACCACGGAAGTGTCCTCGGCCACCTCTAAAGTCGTTCGCGCCTCTGAAGCCACCCCGTGGTAGTGAGCGGTGGTCACCATTCCCACCTAAACAGCAAGGCAAGCATATTTATTTAGACTCAATGGGAGCCATGCGAAGCTACAACTACAGCTACGAGTGGTGGAGGTATCTTAACGGCTGAGAA